TCCACGTGCTAGGATTACAGCGTGCACCACCATGAACTTCACTTTTTAAAAAACAGCTTGAGTTTTAACTCACATGTCAACAAAATTCACCCAATTCAGTGGTTTTTAGTATAATCACAGGGTTGTGCAACGATTACTACAATGTAATTTCAAAACATTTTCATCGATCAAAAAAAAAAATCCTTAACAATCTCTTTCCAGATCTTTCACTTTTGCCCAAAGTAGATTTTCTACAAGTTACAGTAGGCAATCTAGAAGTTGTGAAAGTCGGTTCTGAGCTTCCTCTGGAGTTACAGAGGGTAATGAAATACTGACTAGCTTATTCAACTCATCCATTGGTTGCTTGCCAATCTTTTCTCTTAATGAAATGAAATTCACATAGCATAAAATTAACCATTTTAGCCAGGCACAATGATACTCATGTATTGCTAGTTACTAGGAAGGCTGAGGCAGGAAGACTGGAAGTTTGAAGCCAGTCTGGGCAACTATGTATATATGACCTTGTCATACAATACAAGGGTGGGGGATATAGCTCAGTGGTGGAGCACTTCCCTAGAATGCATGAGGCTCTGAGTTCAATTCCCAGTACTATGCGCGCACACACACACACACACACAAACACACAAATTAACCATTTAAAAATAGACAATTCAGTGGCACATTCACAGTGTTGTGTAACAACTCCATCTAGTTCCAGCACATCACCCCAAAAGGAAGCCCCATACCCATTAAGCAATCATCTCCATTTTTTTTTTTTCCTCCTTGCTGCTCTTGGGCCACCAATCTGCAACTTATCTCTTCAGAACTACCTACTTGTATATTTCATACAACCAGAATTATGTGACCTTTTGCTTACGGCTTCCTTCACTTAACATAAGGTTTCCAAGGCTCACTCATTGTAGTAGGTATCAGTATGTACTTTGTTCCTTTTGATGGCTAAATTTTATTCACCTATCCATATATATGTATGTACTCAATTTGTTTATCTAGTCTTCTGTTGATGGACATTGGGTTGTTTTCACCTTTTGCATATTGTGAGAGTTGCTGCTATGAACATGCATGTACATGTACTTAGTACCTATTTTTAATACTTTTAGATCTATAGTGAAATTGCTAGGTCACAGTAGTTCTGTTTAAATTTTTGAGGAACTGTGAAATTGTTTTCCACAGTGGCTGAAAAACTACATTCCTCCGCCTGCCTCACAAGCACAAGGACCCAAGTTCCATCCCCAGTATCAAAAAAACCCAAAAACAATCAAAACTACATTCCTATCAGCAGTGTAAGAGGGTTCCAATTTCTCCACATCCTCAATAGTGGTTATTTTCAATCATGTTTTTTATTATAGTCTTCCTAGTGGGTATGATGTGGTATAACCAAGTCTTTTAACAGAGGAGAGTGGAAATGTCTTTAGTACATAAAGCATTTTACTGTATTTATTTACATAAAATATTTTACAAAACATTGAGTAAATATTCAAGAAAATGTAAAACACTCCACTGTAATCCCAGCTACCTGGGAGGCTGAGGCAGGAGGATCACAAATTTGAGACCAGTTGGAGCAACTTAGTGAGCCTGTCTGCCTGTCTCAAAATTTAAAAAATAGAAAGGACTGGGGATGTACCTCAGTGCACCCCAGGTTCAAACCACTATATATATATATATATATATATATATATAGTTAATATATATACTATATACTAGTTTATATATATAAATATTAATATATTTACTAGTTACCTATTTTTTAAATTAGTTACCTATTTTCTTAAAAGCATGATGCTGACTTGTGAAACCACATAAACATACTTTCCCTGTACTTCTAAAAATATTGCAAAACATGGAAGTGACACCCAAGTTCAGATACTCAGCTTTCTTTTCTCTTTTTTTTTTTTTTGGTACTGGGGATTGAGCTCAGGACCTTGCGCTTTCGAGGCAGGCAGCAGAACCACTGAGCTAAATCCCCAGCACTCAGCTTTATTTTCTGACCAGAGAAGGGGCAACTATCTCTATGGCCCATTATTACTTCCCAAAACAAAACAAAAAATTGTAAGCCTTGAATATCCTAGTTCCCAAATAAGATACATACTCTTCCTGAATGAAATAAGGCACTACCACCTTTAATATTTTATATTGCACTTTGTTTTGATCTCAGGGCAATAAGAGTATCCTTTTATTTATTTATTTTTCCAGTACTTGCCCTGAATAAGTACCTCAACCCTTTTTAAATTTTATATTTTAGCTTGGCATGGTGGTTTGTGCCTGTAATCTCAACACTCAGGAGGCTGAGGCAGGAGGATCACCTCAAATTCAAGGTCAGCCTGGGCTATACAATTAGTTTAAGACCAGCCTGAACTACATAGTGAGATCCTGTCTCATCCTCCCCAAATGTTTTTATATTTTGATGCAAGGTCTAAGTCACTGAGCTGCCCAGGCTGGTCTTGAATTTACAATCCTTCTGCCTCAGCCTCCCAAAGTACTGGGATTAGAGGTGTGAGCCACTGATATATTATCCCTCAATGGCCAAATTGTGCTTAAAGCCAAGGTTTTTACTCAACAGAAATATATGTAAATCAAGAACGATATGAAATCTACAGCTGCACCTGGATTAAAGGAGACCTTGCCTACACCCAGATTTTTTTAAAGTATCCAGGGAATGAATCACAGCAAGATGAAGGATGGATGAGGTTACACCTTTCTTTACAGGTGTGAGTGGAGGGGGCATTTAGAAAGGGGAGGAAAGGCTGGGGACTTAGCTCAGTGGGTCTGCTGTCTGCCTCATAAGTGCAAGGACCTGACTTAGATGCCTGGTACAAAAAAAAGGAGGAGGGTAGGAAAACTACCTCAATTGCTTTTTGAGGAAGATGAATTTTAGGAAGAAATGCATGTGGATGAAGAACAGCAAATTGATTCCCTTGAAACTACTTCCCACATATGCCTTGAAAAGTCTTTCTGTACATATTCTCCAGTTTGAAAATTGCTGAAATGTAAATGATACTCATCTCCTTAGCCCTCATTGGTTGCCCCATCACTCATTTCCCTATGAATTCCTACAGCTCTTATGGCCTATCATTTGGGAATCAATTTCTCTTTAGGTAACTAAAGGGAAGAGGCCTTACATCTGTGTGTGTGCACACTGCAATTTAAGGAAGCATCATCACTGTGAGATTATAAAATGGGAAAACTCCATCGAATGTATACATGTTTATTTAAATTTCACTTTAATAAAGCAATGTGCATCATTTTAAAAAAAAGAAAATGGCCATTGGATTTGGAAAGAAAATTTATGACCACTGAATAAAGCAGTAAAAATACAGTATAGAGCTTAAAGAGCATAGGAGGTGTAAGGTCTTACTGGAGCAATTTGGCAGTAAAGGGAATCAGTACTCAAGCAGGATTGAGGGGTTTATGTGGCCCCTATTCATTTCTCAAGGGAAAGGAGCAGACACTGCTGTAGGCTTCGAAGGTACATGTGAATGTACTTAAGGAGTGCACAAGTCATTTTAGGGACTTTGCAACTCAGGCGTTATATGCAAAATTTTGTGTGTGCATGGGAAATAGGGAGTGGGAGAAAGAGAATTTGTAGCTTTATTATTTTACAAAAGGTCGCTACGGAAAAGTTAATAACCACTACTGAAAAGGAAGAGAATAGACTGGATGGGGGAGGGGGATCAGAGGTCCAGAGAAGGACTAAGCTTTAGAAAGAAAATGGAAAACCTCTTCCCCACCTAAGGGCTACAAACAGATGGGAAAGTTAACAGTTGCATCATCTCATTAAAATGAGTAATAAAAACAGAAGTGAAAACGGGGAAAGCTTGTGCAAATACGATCCAGAGGAGAATGAAGATGCCGTGCTGACTGGGTGGAAACGGCGCCTGGGGTCCTCAGCGGAGGTTTCAGCTTCAGCCTCTGCACAACGTCGCGGCCCTGGAGCAGGAGCAGTCTTGAAGCCTGCATGGAAGGCACTGTTCTACAACCGACCAGACCGGGAGCGCGCAGGATCTTATCACAGTGCAATCATCACAGGCAGGGGGCTTATCAGTGAGGCCTCTCAGGGACAAAATGCTGAGGCTGCAGACTACCTCAGAGCTCCCCAGCTGCCACACTTTCCCTGCCGCACTAGGGACGATGCCTCTAGACACTTCTCCTCCTGTCCTAGTTCTGAGTCATCCGCTACGTTACGACATCTTCCCTCCTACCCTCTAACCTGGCGCAAAGCCCACCCTCCCCCCGCGGACCGGAGCTCTCATTCATTCAACCATGCAGGGTTTACGGAGCGACTTTTCGGGTGTAAGGCCCGTGAAGGGGCTGGGGCCGAGGTCCACTGGGTCTTTCAGGGTCCGTCCAAAACTCCAGAGTCGACCGGGGTCCAGGAGGTCGCTGCGGTCATCCCTGGCGGAGAAGCGGGATTGGAGCCAGCCCGCGTGCCCCAGCCACTTCCTAGTCTGGCACCCGGCCGAGCAGGGAGTGCCCAGCAGGGTCAGCCCCGGCCCCGCCGCCGCCGCGAGATCCCGCGGGAACAGTGCTCTCGCGTCCGGGCCTCGAGGCTCTGAGCGCGGGTCCTAACGGCCGCCAGTAGTTTGACCTTGAGAGCCAGCGCCGCACCTACCCACACCACCGGAGGCGCCCGCAGCCTCCCAGGCACCAGTCTGGGTCCCAAAGTTGTTAGCTAACATTCCCCCCGGTGCTTCTTCCGTAGCCAATAGGAGAGCGAAGTGGTGAGGGCCAATGGCAGCGGCCAAAGTAGCAGAAGTGTGGAACCTATCAAAGATCAGCCTGAAATTCTCCCGCCCCTGGAAAGTCAGAGGCGGGCTAATCTCACATGTTGGCCAATCAGCGGCCAATAAACAAGACCCGTCCAAGATCAAAGGGGAAGGGGTGGGTTCTAGGCGGTAGCCACGCCTCAAGGCAGAAGAGTGACAGGCAGCTTCACGAATGCCTACAGAGGCATTGTCCTTATGTCAGGAAACAGGTGGAGCCAAATTGGCTTCTGCACCAATGGTTGGCTGGGGGCGTGTCCGCGGGCAAGCGGGAGCCAGAGGCCGGGGGCTCTCTGGGCCGCGCCTGAGGCGGACGTAACGGGGCCGGGGGGCAGCAGGGTGGGCGCCACGGCTGGCCCGGGTGGATGGAGTTGGAGGGGCGGAGTGCAGGCGGTGTGGCGGGGGGACCAGCGGCTGGGCCCGGGCGGAGCCCCGGGGAGTCGGCGCTGCTGGACGGGTGGCTGCAGCGGGGCGTGGGCCGGGGGGCCGGCGGCGGGGAGGCCGGGGCCTGCAGGCCCCCGGTTCGGCAGGATCCAGACTCTGGACCGGACTACGAGGCGCTGCCCGCTGGAGCTACTGTCACCACGCACATGGTGGCGGGTGCTGTGGCAGGGATCTTGGAACATTGCGTGATGTATCCCATCGACTGCGTCAAGGTGAGACCTGGACCGGGCTTTAAACCCAACCTGGGGGTGACCCGACCCTGTGTCCTGTCTAGAGCTAGGATCCCGGCTGAGAGCCGGAACCGACGGGGTTACTTCCTCGCTCCTGCCTACTACACGATTCGAACTGATATGCCATACAAGCAAGGTCCCGGCTGGGAGTTAAGCCTAGTCAGGAACCAGGACCTATTTCTAGCCATCAGTGAGATCTGAATCGGGACTCAGGATCAAAAAATCTGTCAGCCAAAGCCCTGGATCCCAGCTGGGACTAAGCTGGAGTAGGTTGGGTTGGGATACCCGAAGCACAGGTAAGTACTACTAACTCGATTAAGGTGAATCCAACTAGCATGAATCAGCCTGGATCTGATGACTTGAGATGTTCTTCGGGTAGGTGCTTTTACAGGCTTCTTGCTGTGTCTTCCCTTAAAAGTTACCGGGCAGGAACTGGAGTCTGGGATCTGTGAGCTAGTTAAAGGACACATTAAATCTTAACCATGAGTGTTTGGAAATCACTGTGCAGTCAGAAGTCAGAGTTCCATACTGGAAGTCATATGGGAAAGACTGTTCAGGAAAAGGTTTCAGTTTCTCTGTAACACGAGTGTGATAACCCACCTATTTCCTGAACATAAAAATTGAGCTGGGATTAAGACTATATGTTCAGGGCTGGGGATTTAGCTCAGTGGTTCCACTGTCTGCCTTGCAAGCACAAGGTCCTGAGTTTGATCCCCGGTACCAAAAAAAAAAAAAAAAAAGAACCCGAAGACTGTATGTTCAGGGAGTACATCAGCCGCCCCACAAGAGCAATGAAACTGATAGTATATTTCTTTGGGCACCTGAAGTTGACAAAAAAAGAAATGTTGCCTAGAAGGGAGGTGTGCTGGTATAAGAAAGTGCATGTAAGTGGAGAAAATGGAACTGAGATCAACATGATGACGTAATTGATGTGAAAGTAAAAATAATTGGATCCACAGCCAAACAAGATGATTACTGGATACAGAAGTCAGGTTCTCCTGAAGAAAGTTGGGTGAAGATGGGAAAAGATTAACATTCTTTATAGTTTTCATCTGTACATTGGTAAAGATGCCAACCACTAAAAGCGAGATCTAAATTTAGGGGGAAATAAACTCAAAGTGATTGCTGAAATAAATATGATAAGAGACTGGTGCTTCTTTTACATGTTAGTGGCAAGAGTCAATGGCAATAGCATGGCAGTTCTTTGATGTATGTTTTCTTCTTAAATTAGGAAAATATTACATATTCAAAAGGAAGAGAGTATCAACTTGGACATTGCAAAGCAGGCCTCTTCTGCTTTTCCATGGTTCCAGTACCATTTCATATTTTCATTAGTAATATGGGTACAGAAATAGGGAAAGTGTTCATGAAGCTTTGTAAATGACATTGAGTTGGCAGGGGTATTCTAGCACATTACAAGATAACTCCTAACAAAGGCCATATCCAGTGAAAATGTGGTTAAATGTATTTGACTAAGGTGAACATGAGAATTTTAAATGCTTCTGTCAACTGAGAGAAATAAATAGTAAAACCTATATGAAAGAAATAACTATGGAAATGTAAAATATATAAATACAAAAGATTCCAATATTTATGTAAGACTCTTTGTTGAATGACTGTGAGTTAATGATGCTACATATCCAAAAGTTAATATGATCTAGCTGCAGAGTAACCTCACTGCACTTCTACTGTGAAGAGAGTGCAGGATCTAGGGTGCTAGGCTTCCAGATGAGAAATGAAAAAGAGGTCAGGGAAAGCAGTAAAAATTATTGAATGGCTTAGAAAACATAATTTAATAATGTGACTGACATATAAATATTATTACACATTATCAGTTTAAACTGTTGGTCATTACAATTGCACAATTGGAGGCTGCCTCCTTACTCTATATTTATATAATGCTGTTATAAGCATTTTATAAATTCCTGTTAAAAATGCCTCCAGAATATTTAGGTGTATATCCTTAATAGAGGCAGATCTTTGTCCTGTGACAAACATATCAATCAAAAGATTGATTTTGTAGGAACAGAGACCACTCAGGATCAAATATAGAAAATAAGGTGAAAACTCAAAATGAATGGGTAATAGCTGCTTGGGATCAAGGATAAAGTGAGGCTGGAAAGCAAGATGATTGATTTACTTCTGAGGCCTATAAACCCATTAAAGGAACACTTGTAGAAGGGTCCCAGCCCCCCGGGCAGGGGGGTGCAGCACCTCCCTGGCAAGTGCAAGACCCTGGGTTCTGTTCCTGGTACCAAAAAAAAAGAGTTCCAGAAAGTTTTGCATAACTACAGCAATACTGGAATAAGTCACTTCTAGCCTTCCAAGATAGCTATTTTGAAGAACAGTCCTTATTCATCTATATAAGCTTTGGAATTTTTGTTTAAAAAAGTTAGTCATGCAACATTACAGTTGTGCCTCAAAGCCCTACATTAAAGAAAATTATTTGATCAGAAGGAAAAATGCTCAGGAGTTTTAAAATACAAAAGCTTACCTTAGAAGAATCATTTTTGCTTGTCATTAATGCTGGGATTTAAATGATTAGAGAGGAGATCAGTATGAATTAGTGTCTGTATGTTAAATGCTTTTGTGCAAGCATGAAAGCAGAAGTCATATCCTATCCTTTAGAAAGGGTTTCCCAGTTACCTTCTCCCTGGGCAGCTATTCTTTTGCCATAAATGGATGATGGAAAGGAAAACCAGCCCAAGCTTACCCTAAAACTTGAGGCAGGTCTCTATCTGGTTTAGACCCTAAAGGGCAACCACAGTGTTTGCAAATGAAAGCTCATGTTGCCTCTTGGCATGCAAGCCTCTGTATCCCCAGCCACTTATCAGGGTCAAGTTGACTTAAAATATCCTTGGGAGGGATCATGGGAAGTCAACACAGCTTTGCCAGGCCATGGTCATCCACACATATATTTCCATAATCAAATAGGGAGGCTTGGGAACCCAGATAAATCCTAGTCTCCTTTTCCAACCCTCAGAAGCAAGCATCAGACTTTTATTTGTAGGGACAGAGTCTTCAACCTAAAGCATTCAGAATCCTCAAAATCATCTAAGGACTCACCTACTACCAAGTTGCTCTTTTTTGGTTCTGCAATGGTGAAGCAAGTATCAGTTTACCTAATAAGTTAAAAAGGAAATGAGAGAAATCTTTTCCAAATTCCAGATGTAAATAGTTACACTCAATTACTAGTAAAAGATTAGGAAATGGAAACATTGGCATATCCGCTTTTCTTATGATAATAGTTAAATATTCAATAAATGACAATTGTTCTTGTGTGCCAATCACTGTCTGAAATACCCTGCATATATTTATTCATAATCTTTGAAACAACTTCATGAAGTAGACACCATTTTCATTATTTTATAGATGAAGAAAGGCTTAGAGAGCAGTTAAATAACTTGTCCAAGGTTACAGTTTAAGTGGAAGAGTTATGAGTTGAATCCAGTCTATGTGACTCACAAGTCTTCCCTGTAGCTTCCCAAAAGCAGACTTCAAGAATGAAGGAAGGCAAAAATTTCACAAGGGAGCTCCTCTGAATATATGATTTTCAGATTAACAGCCTAACACATAAGTCAGAATAGCCACAGAGAAACTTTACAATAAAAAAAAAAATGCAAAATTAAACCTGATTTAGTAGTGGCTAAGGACCAGTTAGTTGCCCATGTCTATTTGTGAAATGATTTATACAAGAAGCAATGCTGCCATGATCTGTAAATTCTTGGGTATGAGCAAATATATCTTAGAGTCATATTTTAATGCAATAAAGGCCTTATGTTTATAGCACCTTATAAATTGCCAGTGGATTTTATATGCCTTCACAGCAGCTTGAGAAGGAACCAGCTATTTGGGCTTATAGATGGTAACTTTGAAGCTCAGAGAGGTTTAGTGACATATTGAAGACAATGCATCTAACAAAGCTGGGCCTCAGCTCACGTTTTCTGACTCAAATATGGATTGTCTTAAGCCACTTAACTCCCTGTTAATTTGTTTGGCTTTCTTCAAAGGTAGTGGTTTTTCATAATGAAAGCTTTTCATAAATTCTTAGAAATGTTATCATTTTATGAAAGGTAGTTTTTTGTTTGTTTGTTTGAGGAACCAGGGATTAAACTCAGGACCTTGTGATTACCAGGCAGGTGTGGTGCCACTGAGCTACAGCCCCAGCCCTGTGGAAGGTAGTTTTATTGGCCAACAAATTTGGGCATCCATATTCATTTTCATATTTGCATAGCTTATGCCCAGGTCCTCTAAGTGTATTTTCATTGAGTTAATATTGTTGAGTGAAATTTAGATAGGTGTCTAAAATGTTCAGAGTAACTTACTCACAGTCTAGTTTTCTCTTGGGGATGAAGAGTTCCAGGCCTATGAGACCAAAACTTTCAGGACTGGTTGCCAAATATGCCATTGACTCCAGGAGAGCAATGCAATTTCTGAATGTGTCCCCTGAACAAGATCAGTTTCAGACAAATTTATAGAAACACATAATTGTTAAGCTACCAGGCCCAGTTTAAATACATATCTGTTAAATACAGCACACCCTTTATTGCAAATTCACGGGATCTTTTTGAGAAATGTAAAAGAATGTGTCAGTTGCAATCAATGATACTGTGTATTTCTAACTGAACATCCAATAAATTAACCTTTTAAGTGCAGTTTTTTAGAAGGCAGGAGAAAACTCTAGAGGAATCTGGATTGCTTGTGGCAAACAAGGACCTGTTAATCTGGTTAGCTTCTTTTCTCCCATGCTCTTGAGAAGAGGTATTACTCTTGGATTCCAGTTGGCCAACAGAAAGTTCAAGATTTAAATCCAAACTGAATCTAGTGATTAAAACAAAGGCATTTAAACTACCTGGGCATCATTTTCTCCATCTTGATTTATCAGTAGTGCTACTTGTTACTTTCTGAACTAGTACACACACAGCTTTGTGACAAAATATTCATTCATTAAATAGCCTAATTTTAAGTGTTTTCTGTGTCCCAGGCACTAGACACTGATTTCAAATTATTAGTATCTATGTTACTGTAACTGTGAAACGGGTTGGTAGATGAGATTTTTGTGGGGAGACACACTGGAAAGGAGGTCTGATTTGGAGAAGTGTTTCAAACAAGGTTAATTTTCTAAATTTCAATAAAATTTTCTGGAAATGTCATACAGGTTTCAACCATACACTCATTCCAATCGTTGAATCTTCCTAAGATTCCAAGGGTTATGTTTCACAGGGACTGATTTTATTTACTGATGCCAATTTTGGGATTCAGTCCATTTAGATAAGAAATCTGAGGCCAGGCATGGTGGCACACACCTGTAATCCCATCATGTGAGAGGTTGAAGCAGGAGGATTGCCATGAGTTCAAGGCTACCCTGGACCTACATAGTTCAAGGCCAGCCTGAACTGCCTAGTGAGACCCTGTCTCAGAAAACAAAAACAAAAAATCTGAAAGGCCTTTTAGAGGCTAGGTTGGTTTTCAGCTAGACATTTCCCACTTTCATATTTTTGGGGTAAACTTTCTTTCCCAGGAAACTAGAGCAGCATCTATTAGGAATATCACTTCTGTCAAGACTAGCTTATAGACCCAGCTGGCACTGCCAAATAATCTGAAAAAGTATCAAAAGATGACCCACCATCTCATTAATTAGTATATTGTGTGGTGAAGCAGGGCCAGGGTTGGTGTTTAAAGCATAAAGTATGTGGTATAGGATGAGTAAGTACTTGAATTTAGAATCCATTTGAAAAACTCTTAGCCTGTGTTTATTGAGGCACAAAAACAACTTCTGTATCACAGGCTTGATATTTACTGCTGGGGGAAGAAATTATTAATAAATAGTAATGTTCTCAGGGAAAATAATGATCTTCCACTCCTGGGGTCACAAATGACTAGAAAAGGAAAGATCCAAAGCTTGGAAAGAAAAGATATAGATTTGGGAAGGAGTAAAGTTGGGTGCCAGTTACCACTTCCACAGACTGGCACAGTTCCCTCTAGAAGGCCTGCCCAGTTCCCAAAACCCAAGTGTTGAGGAGAGAAGGTGACATCACTGACATTGCCCTTCTCCTTGCTGTGATTTCAGACCCGGATGCAGAGTCTACAGCCTGACCCAGCTGCCCGCTATCGCAATGTGTTGGAGGCCCTCTGGAGGATTATAAGAACGGAGGGCCTATGGAGGCCCATGCGGGGGCTGAACGTCACAGCAACAGGCGCAGGGCCTGCCCACGCCCTCTATTTTGCCTGCTACGAAAAGTTGAAAAAGACATTGAGTGATGTAATCCACCCAGGGGGCAATAGCCATATTGCCAATGGTATTGAGCCTTCCTGTGCTGGTTCCCCCACTTTCCCAGCTTTTTGGGCTTTGCTGCTGTCAGTGCTTCCTGGTCTCGGCATGGTTTGGAGCTACAACTTTGGGCTGGGGTAGGCCAGATTATAGGGAGGGACTTCCAAACCTGATGTTCTCAGACAACAGGCTGCTTCAACCCCATCCCTCCTTTGGGGCACCTCAACAAAGGGTTACAGTATTCTCCCTTACCTGTCAGCTTGACTTTTTCCTGGCATCAACTGTGGAGACATACACTGAACTGCCCCCATTGTATATTTCTTGATAGTTGGGTGGTGTCCTGCTCCTCAGGGCAGGATTGGAGGTGACCCAGGCACCCAAGGAAGACACTAATGGAGCCTCAGCTCTTCGCCTCACCTTTTCAGGATCCCAGCTGACCAGAGGCAGTTTGTCATTGGGGACTTGACAAAGCCTTGACAAGTGAATGGGGGTGAGGCTAGGTGACTGTCTGGAGAATCCAGAAGGTTGGAGGTTGGGTGAAAGCAAAGGAGGGGATAGCAGCTCAGGGTTTCAAGATTGCCTAAAAACCAAGTTGAGTGGGGAAAGGGTGAGGATACAGTAGCTCAGGATTTGAAGGGAAGATCTGGATGGACAAATGTTAAAATTTGGAGATGGGTTGGAAAGCTTAAGGGCAAAAGGATTGAAGGCAGGGTTCTACGGTGAGCACACAAACCCTGTGTGCTCCCTACACTGGCTACACTCAATGTGTCAGCCTCCTTTGACAATAGTGTATCTGCTTCCTATCTGGGGTATAAGCTGCATTTATTCTTAATACCATCTGTATTGATAAAATCTGGGCTGTTTTCTTTGCCTCTTCTGGGCCTTCCTGTCATGGGTGTGGAGTATACATTGATGACCTTACTAGATTGGTGGGAACAAATCTATTCCTTTCTTGGAACAGGTATTCAGGAGCATTGGGTTCTCTTCTTTTGGACTGGCTCTTAGCAACATTTCCTTTGCTCAGTGTGGTTTAGCACAGCCACTCCCCATCACTTTGGGGGGCCTCAGCGAATTGGTCACCCCCTCCTGGCCTTACATGTGGCAGTTGTTTTCTCATTTGCAGGTGCAGCCGGGTGTGTGGCAACATTACTTCATGATGCAGCCATGAATCCAGCAGAAGGTAGTGCTTCCTCAACCTGTCTCTCTGGTCAGCTGCATCTGCATGTCTGGGTCTTTGCTTTATTTATGATTGGTAGGAAAAAGCCAGAGCAATTGTCAGTTTGGGTGGGAAATCATGCCATGTTGCTTTATTATATCACTAGAGGGCGCTCCCTCCATATTTTCAGTACTTGGAAGGACCCCCCCCCCCGAAACATTTATTGGGATTTAATTCCTTTGGGGGGCTTCCTTGGAAAAAAGAGATGGTTGTATTGGCCTGTACCTGGGCCCCTCTTTGTAGTATATTTGATCTCTTATGAAAGTTTAGCAGATTATTTCATTTTACTTCAAGGAGATGAAGATGGATTTTGACATTTAAAAGTTTGCCTTATTAGAATGAAGACAGTTGAGGTATAGGAATAAAGATTATAGAGCTCAGGCCCTGCATTTCTGCTTTGACCTTGGTGTTTAGTTGGAAGAAAATTCTTCAAACGCATTCTCACTGTAAGATACTAAGGTACTGAAACAAGTATGAGGGGATAGTGCAGTGCTATGTTCTGTATGTTCCAGTTCTGTGTCTCTCTGGCCAAGACCATGGGGTAAAAAGGTCAAAGCTAAGCTGGAGATCCACAGAACTTATACCACGTTCTGTACTTGAGAGACTAGGAAGTGTTTGGAAACTAAAGCTGAACTCTTGTTGGCTAGGAATCTTTTTGGTAGCAGTTTTTCTTCCCCTTTGGTAAAATAACCATTATAATATTTTTAAGAGTTAGGTACTCCTCATACCTGAAGATTGGGATTATTAGGGCTCTGTGTTCATTACTATGTCCACTACCACTGAGTCATTTCTTGTTGGGGGTTGTGAAAGTATAAGATAATAATAGGTATTCATTTGAAGAAGACCCTCTGGAGGTACTAAACCATAGGTATATGCTGTGTGTTAACTGGCTGGTTTTAAAGAAATCTTCCTGGGAGTGAACCATTATTATTTTTTTGACTCTTTACCGACCCTCTGCCTCCTCCACCCCTCAAAAAAAGGAAACATGAACTTACCACGTTAACTGGCAGCTCACTCATACTTTTTTCTCTCTCCATTCCATTGGCTGATATCCTGACTTGGGATCTTGCACCTGGACACTCTTGGTCACTGGCTGGTTGCTGTCACCATTTCCTTCCTCCTTGCTATGGAACTCCAGTGATCAAGCAGAGAATGCAGATGTACAACTCACCATATCACCGGGTGACAGACTGTGTACGGGCAGTGTGGCAAAATGAAGGGGCCGGAGCTTTTTACCGCAGCTACACCACCCAGCTAACCATGAATGTTCCCTTCCAAGCCATTCATTTCATGACCTATGAATTCCTGCAGGAGCACTTTAACCCTCAGAGACGGTACAACCCCGGCTCCCATGTTCTCTCTGGAGCCTGTGCAGGAGCTGTAGCTGCTGCTGCCACAACCCCACTGGACGTTTGCAAAACACTGCTCAACACCCAGGAATCCCTGGCTTTGAACTCAAACATTACAGGACACATCACAGGCATGGCTAGTGCCTTCAGGACGGTATATCAAGTAGGCGGGGTGACCGCCTACTTCCGAGGAGTACAGGCTAGAGTAATTTACCAGATCCCCTCCACAGCCATTGCATGGTCTGTGTATGAGTTCTTCAAATACTTAATCACTAAACGGCAAGAAGAGTGGCGGGCAGGCAAGTGACGGAGCACCAAGCAAAGCCAGGGGTTCAGACAGCACTGTTGCATCCTGCCTTCCAGCCATATTCTTTCTGCTGACACGCTCTAGCCTTGAGTAGAGTTGGAAGAAAGGTAGAAGGCTCTCCAGGCTCTTGGGTTTGGCTAACACCAGTTCCTGCCATCCTCTGTTGCTGCTGCCACCTTTCCTTCCAGGCCCTAAGCAGGTGCATCTGAGCACACCACAGCACCCCCAACAACCTCTTCATCCTGAGCCTGGTCATCTGCTCTGGACTGTTACAGAGGGATAAGCAGCACATTCCCCTGGTTCCTAATAAAAACAAAACAAAACAAAACAAAAAACCTTTAAATTAAATGGTTTCATTGGGTTTGTCTTACCAAAGGGGAAGTGAAGTACTATCAGCTGTTTTTGACTTGAAGTATAAATCAAGGGACCCGAAAGAAGGTTTACTGAGGATGCCTGTAGTTTTTGTTTCTGCTGATTTTCATAATAATTTAAGACTAGTTCCCATTTCAGTAGTAGGCATCGAGGAATCTGCCTGATGCCTAGTTCAGTGGGCCTTTGACACCCCTTCATTTAACAGGTACTCTTGATCCTGCTCATGCCTCTTACCTTGAATGGTAGTGGCATAGGAGAGGAGACCTCTTCTGTTTTAATTCTCAACTCTGCCTGAGTCGTGAAATTTTCCACATGGCACTTTGTTTTCTACTTATTGCAAAATTAAAATTATTCAGTGGAACTACAAATTCTGAATATTGTGTGATAAACACATTACATTTGACTTTAAGGGTTTTATAAAGTACTGGAGCATATGTGATCTCATTTGGTTCTCTCAAGTGAAGCAGGCAGTGCAAGTATCTCTACTTCACAGACAAGGGATCTCAGAAAGGCCTGGGGTTCTCTGAAGATCTTTTCACCCCAGAAGTGATTCCCTCTGCCAATAGGAAGGGAGTTGAGGGCACGTTCACCAATGTGCTATTAATGAAGAAGCTCCTGCTTGGTGGCCACTTAGTCTGCTCGGAGACCTTCAGAAACACTAGTGCTGTGTGGGTCTGTCTGCTTCTCTTGGGGATATCACCAGTTATTAGCAAGTTCTCCAGTACATAGCATAGAAATATGCCCCACAGAACGCCCACTCACCGTCCTTGTTAGGTCATCTGTCATCTACTCATTCAGAAACCACTGAGTGTATCTCTAGGGTCAAGGACACAATGATAAATGAAACAATTCCAGCCCTCAAGAAGGTTTTTGTCTGGAGAGCAAATTATATATAAACACATAAAATATCAAAATAAATGACAAAAGATCATAGATAAGCCTAGAACACTCCAGAGGATATAAGGAAACCAATCTATTCCTGGGTAACGTCATAGGCTTTTAGAAGAAATGACATCTCACATGATACCTGAAAGACAAGCTAAATAGGTGAAGAAGAGAGGTGTTCTAAGGGCTGGGGCTTTAGCTCAGTGGCACTGCACCTGCTTCGCAAGCGCGAGGTCCTAAATTCAATCCCCAGTACCAAAAAAAAAAAAAAAAAGAGGGAGGTGTTCTGGTCAAATACCTGGAGGTAGGACAATAAGAAGTGTTTAGGGTTTAGTGTGCAAGTGGTTTGGCTGGATTGAAACAATGTAGGCAAGGTGGGGCTGGAGAGTTGAGCAGGAGCTGGGTCATAAAGCAATGTGAAGGAGTTCAGAGTTTATCCTAAAGGCAGTGCACAAATATTACAGGGTTTTAAGCAGAGGCAGAGTGTGTTCAGATTTACCATTTAGACAGATCACTTAGGCTCTCTGAAGGGAGGATTAGAAGAGCAAGACTAGACAGGCAGGCAGACTGGTTAGGAGGCTGTTGAAGTAATCCAGCCAACTGCACGGTGGTCTGGATCAAGACTGGCAAGGAGATTGGGGCCACGGAGGGTTGCAGGAACAATAGGATCTGGTTACAGAATAAATCTTGTCCTCTGCCTGACAGCCCTTCAAGTATCTATGAGGAATCATGTTTGCATACACTTGAAAAAAACTGTCAAGGAAACAGCGGGGGCTCCTGTTCTCAGCCTTACTGACATAAGCTATGCTGCCTCTCTGATTTAGTGATGGAAAAGAGAGATGTTAATAGTGCTGATTGGCGGTCTCTGGAGTCAGGATTGCCTATGGAACAAAAAGTGTGACGATACCACTGCAGAGGTGATTTCAGAAGGTTTCCAAGTACAAATGTAAGCAAATGGCTGCCTTCTGGCACAGACTAACCAGAACAAAGCGGTGGCTCTCCGGGCTTGGTGGCACATACCTGTAATCCCAGCATGGTGGGAGGGTAAGGCAAAAGGCACAAGTTCAAGCCTAGCCTGGGCAACTTAGCAACGTAGCCAAGACCCTGTCTCAAAAAGTAGGGAGGGGGTGACTCTCCAGAACTTGTCCTTGCAGTCAGCTTTGCAGAGCTTCTGTTTGGCATGGTGTCTGGTACACAGTAAACATGATGACAATAAGGTTCTTTCTACAAGAAAAAGATGAGGTGATTTCTGAAAGAATAGTAGCTACTGAAGACTCAGCTTTAATGCTGTTCATAAGTAATGAGAAAATACAAAATGACTTTACTCCAGTTAGGTTCTGCAGGTCTCTTGTCCCAGTCCTGAGACATAACAGAATATTCTGGCAGGGTCAAAACAGCAGCTTCGAATGCCAGTGACTGGACACCTGAATCAGTTCCACGGGGCTCAGAGCACCCAGGAGAAATGTGGGTGTTCGGTGGCAGGCTCAGGTCCACAGCCATTGCAGAAAGCCACGTAGGCTTTTTGACACTTTGAAGACTAAGTGCCAAGCAACCGCCCAGAGCTAATTCCTGCACGGCACCATGTATCAGGGGAAAAGTCACAATTCAGTTAGGGAACATTTTCTTAGTTGGTGAGACAGACCAACATGAATGAAGCAATCTTGTAGTAACACAAGACAGTGTATTGCCATGTACTGGATTATATAAAACAATAATGAATTTTAGAGACAGAAAAGGTAAGTGTAGGTCAGAGTCAACAGAGAGGAGGGTGGGTTTAATAGCAGAATAAAAAATACTTTTGTAAAAGCCAATAAAAGTTGAAGCATGCTAATTTTATAAAATTTATAAGAGACAAATAAAAAGGAAATGTTTCCAATCCCATTACCCAGAGAATATGAATTTTTCTTTTCTCATTGCTGTAGACCAAACCCAGGCCTGTGTGCATGCTAAGCAAGTACTCTGCCACTGAGCTACATACCCAGCCCAAAATATCACATTTTAATGTACATATAATCTAGCTTTTCTATGTGTAAATTGTTATTTTCAAATATCATTGGAATAACATTTGAATATTGTTAATTTCAAATATGAAAACTCACTGTAACCAGCTTCTTTCACCTAATAGAATATGGTGTCTATCCTTCCACGTTAAATTTCCTATCAATTGTGAATGGCCACACAGCATCCTAGTATATGAATGTACAATAATGCTTTATTCAGGTTAGTCCCTAGTGTGCCTTTATAATAAATTATCAAAACATTGCTATGGTCGGTTGGGAGAGAAGGTTCACAGTGGGAAGACGGTTTGGCGCAACCTCCTGGCAGGTACTGAAAAAGGATGCACCGTGGGTTAGGAAGTGGTGGGGCAGAGGCTGGCAATCAAGAATGTCAGGGCCGCCAGGGATTTCGCTCAGTGGTTCTGCCACCTGCCTCACAAGTGAAAGGTTCTGAGTTTGATCCCCAGTACCAAAAATAAAAAGAATGTCAGGGCTGGGAGGCTCATTAGAAGTCATCTTGTTTCACACCCCTCCTACTTCACTGTGTAGCATCTCTAGCAGGTTCCTCCACTCCTTTGAGAGCTCACTGTCCTGCAGGGTAATCAATGTCATTCCTTCGAAGCTCCATGTTAGAAAGTTCATCGTCTCCTGCTTCCACTCTGGGATCCTGTCATTCTTCTGTTTCTGCTGCCTTTGGAAGAAGAGCCAATTTCTTCCGTGTGGCCAACAGAGCTTTATATAATTTTGCCCCGGCCTAGCTCTGCAACTCCAACCTGCCACCTGAAAGTAAGGGATTAAACAAACATCTATTTTCTTCAAAATCTAAACTGTTCCTTCTGCTGTCTTCATCCACTGATTCAGGAGACTTGATAGGTAATGTGCTATCTAAACTGTTAAGAATTTCATACAATTGGTGTTCACTGGACATGCAGTATCGTGTTCCTTCCTGCTTCCTTGGACTGGTGAGTGAAGAACCAGACCTGCAGGAGCTGAACACAGTACTCCATGCATCGTCAGAGCTCTATTAACACAACCTTAATACTACCACTACACCTGCCCTCCTACCCACAGTCACTTCACACGCTCCAAAGGAAGAACATTTCTTTATAAATTTAGGCACTTAAGTCTCCCTGTAATTTCCACCTTGGCTAGTATCTTCTGCTTGCTGGAGCAGGACAAAATCACACAAATCTTTCTTCACTTTGTCAGCTCTTCAAAAATATTAACACAGCTGTTATGTCACCCAGGGAGGGGTCAGAGCACAGAGAGCCTGGAAGTGAGGCAGAGGAGTTTAGACTTGACTTAGCAGTGAGAACCTCTCATGGCTCCTGAGCGGGGAGAAATTTGATCAAAGTGACGCATAAGAATGATTCGACCCGCATCCCAGATACAGGGCAGCCTGAGACAGGGACTCCAGCTAGGGATTGTTGTCATCATCTTGACAAAGACGACCCTGAGAAAAACTGTTACAAGATGAAAGGCACTTGATGGTGCCTTAGACACTCATGTGGGAACTTCCTGCAGGTGGTCCTGCACTCATCTATCTGATGGTGTTTTGTCTCCTTAGTTAGACTGGGTCCCAGAGTGTTGCCTTTCTGGTACGACCATCTGCACCACAAGACTCATAGTAGATGATTACCATGAACTGGTTGTGGATGGACACCAAATTTGTCTGGGGGAATGTTCAGGTGCCATTTCCCTTCATGTACTGAACAACTGGGGGCACTGAAGTGCCAGGCCTATCAGATGGTCAGTTTTATGGGTCAGTATGGCAAGGCTATCGTTCCCAGTTACTCAAACACTAACCTAGCTATATTGTCACTTAGATAGTGATACAACTTAAGCTGAAATTATGGGTACCTAACAAAGGCAGTGTGGTGAGAAAAGAAAGAGACAGAATGGGGGGATGTTTGGGAGGTGGAAGCAACTGAACTTGGCAATCAGATTACTCCGAGTTATAGAGAAGGAGGATTGTTGGACAGCTTTCAAATTTCTAAAAAGGAAAGCATGTTTCCTGGAGAGAAATAAGAAATGTAGTTATCAACATGTATTTGAAGTTGGGACAAATTTTAGGATCTGTTCAGGATCA